TTTGTTGACACTCACGCGCTTTTGCACCGTATCTGCGCGTGGAGGATAGGTCCGTCTCCACGTGGCCGGATTTTTTCCCCTAATTTCACTGTTCACTAATTTTACAGCTTGTTCCTAGGAGTGGCAAACAGTGAAGACCTCTGTCTAGTAGAGCTTTGTGTTTGCAACAGTGGTGGTGTGTGACTTTAAAGCGCAAATAAAATAAAATCACCAGGAACTGACGGGTCCCTGAGGTAAATTAGCTCAAGCAGGATAGTGCATATTACGTTTTGATTTTTGCTAATGTATCAGCTCTAGTAAATAAGCCACCACGTTGAAGTCTATCTACAAAAAAAATCTGTAACTCGGTGTTTTGTATCTTAAACTTAGATACTATTTCCATAATTATAGCCTATGTCTAAACTGTGCAAATTGATGTCAAGTAGGTGCATTGATCTATCTATCTATCTATCTATCTATCGCATATTCACTTATTCGGTTGTACAGTCGTAGCTCGAGTCGCGAGTGTCGGCTACAAGAGTGCAAAACGAGGGGATTAAAGAAAAGACACGGTAATAATTGCATTCACTTTCCCCGACGTATGCAAAGTTAGGAAGAAGTCGAAGCTCATCAATAAACTATCTAGGAGGTGAATGAGAGCCCCTGAGAACCACCGCGTCCCTGACTGTGTCACAAAAAGGAGACAAACGACACTGCCGAGGAGTAAAAAGAAGCCTCAGTGGAAACGGATAATAAACAGTTCTGCCCCTGTTCAGGCCCTGCAGAGTTTCTGTCTTACTCCTCCAAATGTTTCCACAATTAGCTCTTCTAATCTGTGTTTTGGTCTTTTCCGATTATACTCAATAATCCGCTTTAAAATATTCATTTTTGAATGTAGGCTACTCTGTTTTTTTTTTAGTATTATTCGAAAGTTGCAAAGACACTGCACTGCATACTAACCCAGTTTTATTGTTCCAAATGGTCGACAAAAAGAATGCCCTAAACTTTGTAATTGTGCCCTGGCTGTTGATTCCTCCTTTAGATAACTTGTAAATCCTCTCCGTGTTAATGAGGTGTATTTAGGATGTGGTCTAATTCAGGGGGCATCACCCTCCAGGCCATACAACCCCAGCGCATCACACGGACCCTGAGATAGCAATTTTACACGCAAAGCAATTAGCCCAATTGGGATTAGTAACTGCTAATAAGAAGTCGGAAAAGTAATCCCTAATCTCGAAGCTGTTTCGCTCTTGGGTAAAGTGGTCGCTGTGTCTTCTGGAAACTTTTTAGAAAAGGAGAACGTGGGGAGGGAATGGGCCTGACGTCATTCTTTTTTGGCCACTAACATCCACAGACTACCAGAGGGTTAAATGCATGTGCCCACTGTGCTTTATTTTCCTAAAGTCACATGGTGGCGGTGGCACCGATGTTTGTGCCCATCATCGCTGCTTGCAGCTATATTTTCATTTATGACTCTTTAAACCAGCATAACATTTGTAAGACAGTCAACGCTTGAAAATAAAAAAAATAAAAAATTTTATATAGAAAATTCGATAGGAGTTGAAATATCAATGAAGGAATTTTATTTCACAATTTACAGGGTATCTGCAGAATTTAAAAAAATCAGTTTAAGACTTTTTGTGACCCTTTTTAAGACAAAATACAAATGAATAACGTATGAACAGGGTATGGCAATGTCTATGGTAAAATATTAAACTGTAAAATGACAGATTTACAGTTCAAATACAGGTTTTCACAAAAGAAAAAATCTCATAATATGATAAACACCACATTTCAGCCTCTAAACCATTAAGAAAATGGATGAGTCAAACATGTACATTATTATATTATTTTAAAACATGAGCAATATCACATGAGTAGCAGTGCGATATGGCTGTATATTGGCACGGTTGTGATTTGGCCGTATGTAATCACAGCGTGCCGATAATACAGCCATATCTCACGGCTGAGAGTGTGATATTGTGTTTATGCAACAGTTCGACGGCACAAGTGTGTAAATACATAAGAAACAATAACGGAGTGTCTTTAAAAACCCTTTTGTGCAGAACTACTTCCGCCACAGATTCAAATCTCAGTTTGACAGTTTAACAGCTGAGCTCAAGCCTCTGTTACTAATTCGAGAACATCACTTTAGAACTAGTAACGAAGGAACGTTGAGTTGCTTCATGTCAAAAAGCTTTCAAAAGCTGTTGTTGAAAGTAAAAAGAACTTCCTTGTTTACAACCCTGTTTCAATATAAAAGTCTTTACTGCAGACTCACTCAGAAAAACAGTCTAATGGGGGAATAATGTTACTAAAATCACCCTCACAACATTACCCAATACTAAATACTATTATAAAATACTACTATTATTTATATAAAATATTATTTATTGAATAATTATATTCAATAAAGAACAACAACAGCCATCATAAAAGTTGCTAGGCAATTCAGTCAAAAGTAAAAAGGCAAAACTATTTATAGCAAATTATAGCTCATGTATAACCACAATAGAGACAGAGCCAGCGGCAAATTCCAGACGAGCTGGCCGAGGTGAGGCTGCTCTCAGCGGGTTCATGAGCGCTGAACGGCCGCTGACGCCCTGGAGCTCACATCTCCAAAAACGAAGCAAATTTTCAAATAGATGTTATCTTTATTAACTAACTGCATATTTGAAGTCTAAACAAGTACATTCTCGCCTAAAACACTCTTAAAACTAAAACACACACACACACAAAAAAAACATATTTATAAAATTGTAGTGGATTTGGGCGTCTGCCATGACACTCGCTGTGAGAAATACTGCAAGCGGAGTGATATAAACGGTGAAACGGTTCGCGTTCCAATATCAATAGAATATCGCACTCCTCTCAGCCAATCAGATTCGAGGACCAGAAAAAACTGTTGTATAAAAATGTCTTAATTGTTTAGATTTGTAGAAGGTAGTGTTTATTTTGTCAGCTATTTTTAATTTAGCCTTAGTCCTGTGTCAAATGTAACTTATAGTTTTCATCATATTTAGTCAACTTGTCCTTAGTTTTAGTCGACTAAATGTCTGAGAATTTTAGTCTAGTTTTAGACTAACGTACATATTTTAGTCATACTGTATAATGGTTAAAATGATGAAGAAAAAAAATTATTTTGCTCAATTTTAATTGCAATGATTGTTGTCATTTGGGAAATTTATTTTTACATTTCATCAGAAGTTGCTCTTTCACCAATAAGCACAAATCTATAGAATACCGACTCGTATGCATGGTTTATTTTACCTCATCTAACATTAGTGTACAGATTTATAACAGGATATCAATTAGAGGCTAAATAAACACCAAAGATTTCAGATATACACTCGCCCTGTCTACGTGATGAAAACTGGTGTAACAAAAACCTACTCTCAAATATCATAACAGAGAAATTTCTAATAGTAATTCCAATAATTCCAAATTGCATTAATGTTTCTCTTTTAAAACAACGGCAAAAAGACGTATTGCTGCACAGAGGTTGCGTAAGTAACGTTACAATTGGCAACCACTATCGCAAACAATACAGTCGAGATCCATGTCAGAACACAGACTGGCTGAATGACACTTTCATTTAAGCAAAATACCTTAAATAGAGATCCCTGAACTCCAGCTTACTTGTACAGTACTGTATATTGGTGTTTTCAGATCACGGCGCCTCCGCAGAGAGAGCGCGTGTGAATGGTTGACAGATTGCATGAAGTAAAAAGCTGGGCAGAGTACGTATCCATTTAACAGAAAAGTTCTGATTGGGGGATTTGAGGTCTTGATATCTGGCAACTGCAAACATGAACGCTCACGTAACAGTCTTGTACAGCAGTCTGAAATATTTTGGCTCCACTTTTTTCAACAAAAATAAAATATTTTGTTAAAGTTTTTGTTCTTTTAACTACATTTTAGTCTCGTCTTTTTTCGTCAATGATATTGCATGTTCATTTAGTCTCAGTTATCGTTTAATGACCTTATTATTGTCTCGTCCTCGTCTCGTTTTCGTCAGGGGAAACACCTCGTTGATGAACATTCTTCGTCATAGTTTTCGTTAACGAAATTAACACTAGTAGAAGGCACATTAGATTCTTTCACATTTACAACTCTGTGTTTTTTCTGTGTAAAAATATGGGTCGATTTTCACATTGTACTGAACAAAAACAGTAGAAGGGCTTACAGAAAGGGCAAATCACTGATCTGTATGATCAGTGATGCAAATTATTTTTCAGCCACTTGGTGAGTCTATTGAAACAGCAGAAATACAGTGGTTTTCCCCGGTAACGGCTGTACACAAAGCAGCGTTGCACTCATAAATGCTGCTTTATCATGCATTATTGGAAAGATGAAATGAAAATGCCATTAAAGTTTTTCCTGAAGACAGTCAGTTCCCTTCAGATGTACATTCATACAAAAACACTGCGCCGCGTTTTGACTTTGAAACGTACAGCTCATATTTATTCAATTAAATTACAGCGATTCTTGTCTTTCCGTCCCCAAATTTAAGACCTTTTGAAATTACAGTTAAGACTTTTCTTATACAAAGTAAGGTATATAAGACTTTTATGGCCTTAAATTTAATACAACTAAATTGAAGAGTTTTTAAGGACCTGCGGGAACCCTGTATTAAAGATAGCCCGTCAGGCAGGGCGGTGATACATTTTGGTAGCCCGAGTGGAAAACACAATAGCCAGGGACGTCGGGGCTAGCAATTTTGCAAGCCCTGCATATCATGCTAAAGATTTTTTCTAGCGGCCTGGTCAGGTTAGCAGTTCAGACTTCCCATTCCAAATGGTGGTCCAATCTCTGTTGGACCACATGAGACAGACTTTAAACGTTTAAACTGACAAGGCCTAAAAGTGAACAGACACCTATTTAGCTCTTCAGGGAACAGTTATTTAGTGGTAAGTGACATTTATAACCAAAATGCTTGCAGCAAAAAACCCTTAAGTGTACAGAGAGTTTGTTTGTTTAATTTTGTGAATAACAGATGGCAATAGCTTCTGCGCTCTTACCTCCCAGTCTAGGTAATCACCAACATCCTCAAAGTTGGTGAGCAGAGACACTGAGCAGAAGAGGCGCGGCAGCTCGTCCCTCGTCATGGGGGGAAAGCGACTGTCTTTAAGGGCACTGTGAAGAGGACATGAAGGCAAGATTTACAATTAAAAAAGTCTACTAGGGTAGACAGCCAATCTCAGTGAACAAGTACTTATGAGTATGAATGCCTACACACATTCATCTAGGGATCAGTCAGAATGACTAGTTGCCTAACAACCTAGTGAAGCTGACTACTGAGTTTATCTAGATTCATAGGCACAAAAAACGGGCAGACACAGGAGAGGAGGTGATAATGTCTCAGAAAGAGAAGACTCCATAAGGAAAATCCATCACCAAAGAAAGATCAACAGTGAGAGGAGGAATAAGAATGTGGGTTTCCTTTGGCAACTTTTCTGTCAGTAACGATACTAGCGTTTCTGTAGTATGGGTAGCTGATTCAATCCAGTTCCCAAGAGCTGTGATACTAACAGGAGACTGCGTTCAAATGTGAACACCAATGCATTTCTTGGTAAAAATGGCCATCTTGCAAGCTATTAATGAATACACAGCCAGTTTTGTGTGGCTGCCAACCAAACAAAATATTAGAAATCAATGGAATCTAGTGTCTAGCTCCAAAAGGTTTATTCAAAAATGGCAACACATTAATAACATTATAATGGTTTATCATGGAACATCTGGACCATGGTTGACAGTTTTGTTTTTGTTTTGTTTTTGTTTTGTTTTTGTTTTGTTTTTGCTCAAATATCGGAATTGATATTGACGATTGTGAAATTTCACTGGAATATAAATTTTTATTTTGTAACATTTACAGCAAAATAACATTATTCATATAATGATATAATTCATGGTTTATTCAAAAATGGCAACACATTAATAACATTATAATGGTTTATCATGGAACATCTGGACCATGGTTGACAGTTTTGTTTTTGTTTTGTTTTTGTTTTGTTTTTGCTCAAATATCGGAATTGATATTGACGATTGTGAAATTTCACTGGAATATAAATTTTTATTTTGTAACATTTACAGCAAAATAACATTATTCATATAATGATATAATTCATATAATGATGCTCTGTCATGTTTGTGCGTTGATCATCAATCTTAGAATGGCATGAGGCATAGGTGTTTTCTGCCAGTGGGTATCAACCCTAAATAACAAATGAACGAAGGTCAACATCATTATAGCATTTTTTGAGATTAGTGGATGATTTTGGGAACAAAATGAACTAAACTTAACTAGCCACTCTAAAAAGGCATTTACGTGTTTTACCACCCGCAGGGACCCGATGTGAGATTTACCAATCAGAGAGGCTCCCGAATGTCAATCAGTTTTTTAATTGGTTAAAGTTTAAAGAAGAATATCTCATGTTTTTCTATGGGTGCTCTGCCATTCCTCAGGGAACCATGGGATCAGGATCGATGGCATGATGGTGACTAAATGAAGACAATTTTTTATTTTTATTTTTAAGGTTTTCAAATACATTGCTAAGAGCTGTGCCAAAACGCACCTACTTTCAAATCAATTGCTCTGTACTCCATGTAGCCGTCCTGATGAACATATACCATGATAACATTTCCCAGAAGTCCACTGTTGCTTGTGTTTTTCTCCACTACTTCATTTACCATGAGAAGCTGATTAAAGCTTGACTATTCCTCCATCAGTGTGTGCACTGAACATGATAAGTTCTTGGTAAGGTTTGTTAGCTCTTGGCACGTTTAGGCATATTCAGGAAGTAGGCATGCAGGATATAAAAACAAAACATTCCTTCATGAATGACTGACCAAAAATATCCAACAGGGCTTGGAAAAATATGGGGAAAAAATTCTAAGAATTTGAGAATTGCATTGAGAATACTGACTTGCACTTGACTGGAATAACCATGCATTTTTGTGATTGGATCTAGTCACTCTAAATTAGGGATGGGCAACTGGTGGCCAGTACCATATTATAGCCTACTCTGGTCAATTTTGATACATCTGAGAAGCAAGATTATGTAAGATGTTAATTCTAACCCAAACCAGGAGAAGTCGCTAGTTCCTGCCTCTCACCGTGATCACCGTAGTAATTACAGCATAGTAGGATGTGTGCGCTAATGTGAACAATCCCGAAAATGAGCAAAAAGAAAAGACAAATTGACTACGAAAATCGTGTTTTCCAGTCGAGATGGAAAACAAAATATATTTTTACCGAGTTCAAGGGGGCCCCCATGTGCTTAGTTTGTTTGGAAACAAAATCTGTGATAAGTCGCCATTACACCACTGTATGAAAAATACATCGGTGATGCCAGAGTTGCTCTCATCTCAGATTTAAAAGGTAAATTATATCATCAGCAAAACCTTTTTGCCAAATGCATGATGGTGCAAGAATCATTACTAAATGATTCACTAAAGGCATCTTATGTGGTTTCACTTGTGCTTACGAAAGCGAAAAAGACGTTATATCAGAGGGCGAAATTATAAAGCAGTGCACGATTGAGATGGCTAAAGCATTTGGATATGAGAAAATGGCCAAGAACTTTGAATCTGTATCCTTGTCACACCGAACAGTAGCATGTCGAATTTCTGACATCCAATGTCAAATCCAAGAAAAGTCGAAACACACAATCAACAATTGCAGATACTTTTCTCTTACGCTGGATGAAAGCACAGATGCGACAGATGTCAGTCAGCTCCTGATCTTTGCAAGAGTGATCACAGAGAACTTTGATATTCAAGAGGAGCTGTTAAACTTGTCTTCATTACATAGCACCACAAAGGGAGAGGATATTTTCAAAGCTGTTAAGAATCCGGTACGGGAGTATGGCGGCTTTGCTAAACTGTCTGCTTTTGTTACTGACGGAGCACCATTAATGCAAGGAACAAAATCTGGACTCGCTGGGCTTCTTAGGAAGAGTGATGATAACTGTCCAGTACTGCACTGCATAATATATCAGGTTAATAGGCTTATTTGTATTTCAATGTAACTTACCTAAAATAAACTTATGTTACGTGATCAGTAACAAATATTATTTGCTACAGGAGGCCCTGTGTGCAAAGACTCTGGACTTCGGCCATGTCATGAATGTAATGATGAAAGTCACTAATCTTATTCGAGGTGGAAACAGGGTGCTCAATCACAGAAAGTTTGTTGTCTTTTTGGATGAAGTCAGTGCTGCTTATGGGGATTTACTGATGCATCAGATGGATGAGCCTTTGGAAGAGTCTGGAAAGATTATTTGCACTGCACAACGATATCCTTTTGTTTCTGGAGGACAATGTTAAGTCGGACACAAGCACTTACTGCTGCAAACAACGGGATCCAGAATTTCTTTGTGACATGGCCTTCCTTACTGAATAATCTGAACACACCGTTACAAGGATGGGTCCAAACGGTTTCAGACATCTATGTGCAAATGAACGCTTTCCAACGCAAATGTAACCTTTTTCACAACGGATTTTCATCCGATTCCGTAAATTTGACACACTTCCCTGTCTGCAAGGAGATGCGCGAAGATGCTCCGGAGTGCAAGGTTTTTTTTTTGCCAAGTATAGAAAATAAATCGGAAGTCTGCAAGAGCGATTCAAAATTCGCTCCCAGGACTTTCACGACATGCAGGACTTTCCTGAACGCAGCTGTCAGTGAGCAGCCTGGAACTCTGCGAGCTTCAGTCTGACCCCTTCTTTCAGGCAAAGCGTAATGAGAGGGGGCTTGAATTTTGGAAACTACTACCCGAGTCCTGTTTTCCCCTCAGAGATTTTGCACTGTTAATGCACAGCATGTTTGGCAGCACTTACATCTGTGAAAGTAGTTTATCAACAATGAAGCCCATTAAATCGAAAGAGAGAAACAGGCTGACAGATGACACTCTCTTTCAGCTACTGCAAGTTGGCTGTACAAACTTTGAGATTTACATTGAATCAATTGTGCATCAACAGGAGAGGCCACAAGTTTCTCATTGAGATGTCTTTTTGAAAGTGTGAATGTTGTCTGAACTGAAAGATAAATGCATGTGTCTGTGGGGGTAGAATGCTATGGATATTTAGCACTGAATTGTTATATTCAGTAAGAGATATCTTTAATAGTAATATGTGGAATTTGGTATGTATATTTAATATGTTTTTGAATAAGCACTTTCAGGTTATTAGGGCTGCCCTCGACTAAAGATTTTTCTGGTCGACTAGTAGTCGTTCATTTTAAGCATTGGTCGACTAATTGCACTTTTATTAATAAATCATTTAAATCATGCTAATGAGCCTTTAATACCACAAAATCCAGCCGTTAACGATCGGTTCGTCACAGACTGCATTACCGCACTACTTCCTGTTGTTTTTTTTGTTTCTGCGACTAAGCGACTAAGACAATTTTGGTCGACCAAGCCTCTTCTCGTCGACTAAAGGTTAGTCGACTATTAGGGGGCAGCCCTACAGGTTATGTTGAGAAAGTTCTGTAGGCTACTAATCAGAAATAGGACCACTGGCAAATTTACAGGCAATGCAATTTAAATGTTTACATTTGCTTGTCGATGAAGTTGTCCATTTGAATTAGCATAATTGCGATTTTAAAGTTAAAACCTGAAAAAACGCACACATTGGATTAATTGTACATTGATTTCCCTCAATCAAGAAAATATTAAGGAAGACGTTGTAAAATGTTTGAGTGTGAATTAGAAATCTGGCCCCTTGGTATAAATGACAAAAATTTTCTGGCCCTCATCAAAGTTGCCCATCCCTGCTCTAAATAAAAATATCTAAATACTATCCAGATATGAATTGGATGTTAATGCTAGGTGACATGCATTAGCTTGTGCAGGGCTCGTTATAATATACGATAATATATAATATATAATATACAAGTTCTGATTGGCCAATCGATGTCATGTAGTTCGTACATTCTTATTATTATAGAGAATTTCAATATTTAATTTGCATGTTTTACATACAACAACATTATTAATCTAAAGACGATGGTGGTTTTACAGAGGGGATGTTTTTTGTCATTTGTTTCACAAAGGGGGATGTCATCCCCCTCAAATCGAGCCCTGCAAAAAATTCAGTGAGTGATAATGTTGATAACGGCAGTGCTGGCTTCATCATGTAAGCAGCAACCATGTCAAACAATGCAACTAACTTAAGTGGACCTCAGGAAAATAATGTGCACTTTTGCACTTTATTTGTGGCCTCTGGACAATAAATTAATGTGAGCTTTTTTGGACCATTTTTCGTGTGCGGATCTTATTTGTTTTTGTTTTTATCTTTGAGGATCTACACACTGCCAGAAGTTCATGTAGTTATTTAATTGAGACTTGTGTCTGGCACTATGCTTCTCCAGTCTCTTCATTTGTATTCTCTTTGGCGTTGCAGCCCCACCCTTGGATTTGGTCGGTGACATTATGTCCACCTTTGCAGAAATCAGGGGCCTTACAGATATCCAGGCACACACCCGTTTTTTACCGATGAGGATATAGAACATATACTTTTTCTGGACTCTGGACCCACAGATTTACCAATCTCTATGGATGAGGACTATATGAAGAAATTGAAGTTTCTATATATGAAAGAGATTCGATTACAGCTACACGGTACAACCCTGAGCGAATATGTGCGAGCGAAGAGAATTCCTAGAGGTTTGCACAACCAGAATGTATCGACTTTAGGTCGTAATGATGAGGACTTCTGTACCAAATGGTGCGAAATTCTCAACAAAGCTTCTTTGGAACTAATGGTTTTGATCATTGAATACACTCAACAAGAACGGTTTAAAATTATGCAGGAAACCACTGATCTTAAAGAAAAGATGATTTTGTCTGTTGATTCTTTTATACTACTATCGATTGAAGTTGCCTCTAATTTTAAAGGGAAAGAGCACAGACAAAGCCTTAGTTTGTTTATATGAAGAGATTTATTTGATTTGTGTTACTTATTTATTTGATTTGGGGCTTGTTTTGTTATTTACATTTACATTATATTTAAATTTTGTTATTTAGCAAACGCTTTTATCCAAAGCGATTAACAAATGAGGACAATAGAAGCAATCAAAACCAACAAAAGAGCAATAATATGCAAGTGCTATATTAGTATATTATTATAGTGTTATATTTCAATTTCACAAAGAAACGTGCAGCATTTTGTCCAAGCAATAATAAAAGGACACATTTAATTTATAATTCGTCTTAAATCTCATTTTGTAAAAAAAACAAAC